GAGCAGACAATGGTATAATGCTTTAGATCAGAGACGAAATGTCAAGGTAAAGAGCAGTAAAGAGGCTCAAGCGCATCGTGTTCGATGAACAGCACGCAACCGTTAGCCTAACAAGCTGTCAAGACGTCGCCGCGTGTCAATCCAATAGCCTGTACGAACCCTTGGAATAAATCTACTGGGAGTCTGTTTCCATCCCCTTTCTCTATCCCCGCAGCGACCAGAACCACCATTTCCTCTAAACCACTGCTTGTAAACTTTTAGTCCTGTGAATGCTTTAACTTTTGTGATTGCGCTTCTCTTGTATTTGCTTTTGTATTTCGAATCAATAATTCCTTAAATTCCAGAGATATTGTTTATAAAATTATTATTAAAAACGCATTATTCAGAGTTAATTAATTTTCAATTAATTTTTAAATTGAAAATATTTGAAAACTGAGAGAGAAAGAGAGAGAGAGAGAGAGAGATTTATTTTTGAAAATAATTAATTGAATTATATTTGATCGAATTTTTAATATTCTTTGTTGACTCTTCTACGATACGATCGGTTATAAATCCTTTTATTAATCCTGTGTGGAATCTTTCATAGATCTTATCCGCTTGTGCCAAAGTAATTTGATTTCCTCGAATTATGGTGTGCGTATGGGGTACCGTACGTTGCACGTACGATAATCTTCTCCTCTTTGATCTACCTATGACGTACTGTTCCAGATTAAACACTTTGTAATCCGTAATGCACTCAATTTAGTGTACGATCTAAGTTTGTTACTCGCGCGTAATTAATATAAATTTTCTCGTGTGATTTTGCACAAATATTCTCAAAAATTATCAAATACAACTGTTTCTATAATAATATTTTTTTAATTAATTCTCAATATCGATCGATATTAAATTATATAAAATTATATGAAAATCGAACAAGTACGTCCACTTTTATCGAAATAACAATTCTTTTTCTGTATCTCTTTTCGATGGATGATAACAAACAAGTATTTATCAATTTCATTTTACCTCTAGAAGGACACGCTTAAGTGGCCTTTGATCTTAACCCTCCATTAAGCGGCATTCTGCACCTTATGCACTCTA